GAGCCGACCAGTCCTTGTTTTAGCCCCTTAATGCCAAGCGCCAGACAGGGTAACAACAAGTACCATCTTTTAACGTCTTCTGGTATGACGCGGCCAGGGATCGAACCCCGGACACTCTACCACTAGAGCACGGAGGCGGTCGCTGAGAGCCATGGAACTGATGCAGCATTTCCAAATGAAGGTATGGGGGCAGATTGGTCCAGGATATTGATCACAATAGAATGCATACATAATACACAGGATAATGATAAACACTGCAACCTCCCTGTTTGTCCGCTCAATATCAATAATAATAATAATAATAGGCCATTTATATTGCCCATATTTCCGCACCACGCAGGGGCATGCTCAAAGCGCTATTATTACCCCGATCAGTGTGCACTCAACAATCATTCTCAGCTCCCTGGGGAGTATACAACCCAAGCTGCCTGTTCGGAGCTAGAAGGTTAACAACCACATTACCATCTCATCCTACCGGGTACCCATTCACTGCTGGGTAGACAGTGGCGCATTTTAAACAAAGCCACTTGCCTAAGGAGACACTACATGTGTTACATGTACTTCAGTGTGGGGCAGAAACGAAGGCCCAGAAACTCTTAGGAGCCAAACTGCCGAAACACGTCACCCATCCAAGGACTCTCTGTGACCGACGTTTCTTAACTTCACCTGATTGTTTTCCTGTGTGCTGTGACCCGTGAAGATCCGGGGTAGAGTAGGTCTTCAGCAACCCATGCTTGTCGTAAAAGGTGACTATGCTTGTCGTAAGAGGCGACTAACGGGATCGGGTGGTCAGGCTCACTGACTTGGTTGACGCATGTCATCGTATCCCAACTGCGTGGATCGATGCTCATGATGTCAATCCTGGTCCAGACTCGATTATTTACAGACCGCCGTCAAATAGCTAGAATATTGCTGAGTGCGGCGTTAAACAACAAACAAACAACCAACTAGTGTGCTGTTCACAGAACCACGTGCTACCAGTAGGGAGCTGGTACCTTGTCAAGAGTCCTAAGTGTATTTATGCCTGAAACTGAACTGACATAATTTCAGTGGCAACACAATCGTATCCATAGCAACTCCATGAACATCCACATCATGTCATCTATCAAATGAATCATTCCACTGCTCCATGACACATTCTGTTTGAATCAAAGACAAAATCAAAATGTCTGTACATACTTCTTTTATTTCAACAAATGGTTTGATTTTATGACGGATTAAAAGTAAATAAGATGTATAAAGATTCTAAAATTAAGGTGTGTATTTCAGGTGTAGTGCAGCCCTTGATTGGCAAATCATAAACAATCACCTGTCCAGCAGTAAAACACACAAGGTAGACATGTAACACAACTATGTCTTCCTCTTTAAACTCAGCACTGTTTATATACATAAACACCACCCTTCCCCTTCACAATCCACTTTAAAGATATTAACAGATTATGAATTGTAACCACCCGTGAAGATCCGGGGTAGAAAAGGTCTTCAGCAACCCATGCTTGCCGTCAAAGGCGAGTATACTTCTCGTAAGAGGCGACTAACGGGATCGGGTGGTCAGGCTCGCTGACTTAGTTGGTGCATGTTGTATTCCAAATGCGTGGATCGATGCTCATGATGTCAATCACTGGATTGTTTGGTCCAGACTCGAATATTCACAGACCACTGTCATATATCTGGAATATTGCTGAGTGCGGCATAAACAACAAACAAACAAATTGAAAGAATTATGAGTTATGTTTTGCCATCAACGTCAACCAAAACCACAAGAGAGGAAAACAGCCCGACACTGTGGATAAATTCTTTCATTCAGTTTTGTCACAACCAACTCTTCCCAGTGTTTCTTGTTCAGACAGTAACACAATCTACAACAATGTTGAATGCATTAACCACACTGGACTCCATCTTGAGTGAGTGAGTGAGTGAGTTAATGTCACATCAGCAATATTTCAACAGTATCATGACAAGTACTACATCTTGAGACGATTTGTTTGTTTGTTGTTCAATGCCGCAGTCAGCAATATTCCATATATATGACAGCGGCCTGTACTAGACAATCCAGTCGCCTCTTATGACAAGTCTTGTTGCTGAAGACTAATTCTAAGTACCCTAGTTATAGGTATGAAAAAGTCGTCTTATACACAGCGATGTACGGTAATCTTCACGGGTTCTGGAGATAAATAAGTCCGCAACTATTTCAGTTTGAGGCATATTTAGGTCACAAGAATACCACTCCATAATGGATTCCATTACGAAGTCAAACATCATGGCAGAGGGAACTCTTACCTACATGTTATTATTGTGGAATCAAACTCGGTTCTTTAGTGGACAAGCAACCACACTAACGCTATGCGACCCTTTTATAATGTTGGACATAACCCAGCCTAATTTACAAGCACTGCTACAATCCTAAGTCACATAGAGAAAGTAAAACCTTATCTATAAAAAAATATATGAAAATCTTACAGTAAAAAATTCTAATCCTAAATTACTTTCTGCTTAGTCCATAGATTGTTTTGCCATAACAGTTTGTCCGGATAAGGACACACATGAAAATACATGTATCGTTAAAATATATACACTCAAAATGTTTGTAACATCATGCAAATACATGTACAATAATGCAATATATCTGATATGTATGACCATAATGAAACACTGCATGCGATCTTCATTGTTGAGTAGATAGGACTTCTATGTTGCACGGAATATCAATAAATGTATGCAAAAAAACAAAACTTTACATTTGCAATACATGACATATGAATGGTAATATTCTGAAACACATGCTTTCATCTTTTTGAATATGGAAATGTTTGTATATTTCTTAATACATTGTTGCCAAAATACATGCAAATGTTCTCTTGGTTTAACAATAATAAAAGTGATGACATGGAATACACAAAATCGATAATGCAATTTTTAGTGCTATCGGAACATGCTGGCACTATGACCATTGTATCTCCCTAATGCTACAATTCAGAATCATCAGACACAATCATCGGAGCTCCCTTATGTTGCAAACATCGGAACTCCCTAGTGCTACAATTATCAAATCTCCCTAGTGCTACAACCATCGGAGCTCCCTTGTGCTACAACCATCGGAGCTCCCTTGTGCTACGACCATCAGAACTCCCTAGCACTACAACAAATGGATCTCCCTATCGCTATGACTCACGTAAGTCCTATACTTCAGCTTCAAGTGACAGTAGTGAAAGAAATTCTCTCATAGATGCCATGAACCTAATATTGCACAAAAACATTAAAAATCTTGGAAGTTTAAAACCAGCAGATATGGGGCAGTCACTAGAGGCAGTTTTCTCGTAGATGCCATTAACCTAAAATTGCACAACAATAAAAATATCAAGTCTTTGAAATGTTGCATTTCTCATAATAAAGAAGTTGACATCTATAAATTCTCTTCCTCAAAACAAAATAATCTTGGAAGTTTTATATCAGCAGATAATGGGGAGTCACTAGAGGCAGTCTTCCTGGAAGGAACATGGCCGGCAGTAATACTGTATCTGTCTACACACCACAATAACAGGAACAGCGTGGCAATATCAGAGTGGGATGTCAGACAACGAAGGACCTCATCACAGGTACTAACACACTGTATCTCCATTTCTTGTTGCCAAGAGAACACTCGGATCCTCCAACTACAACCATGACAACAGCTACAACCACAGCGGTAATCATGGCAAAAGCCACTGCAACTACTACCACTCAAATGACGGCCACAACCACAGCCACTGCTTATACCATGAACATGGACACCAGCTAGGCTACTACAACCACAGCCACTGCTTATACCATGAACATGGACACCAGCTAGGCTACTACAATCACAGCCACTGCTTATACCATGAACATGAACACCAGCTAGGCTACTACAATCACAGCCACTGCTTAAACCATGAACATGGGCACCAGCTAGGCTACTACAACCACAGCTATCTGCCATGTGTGTGCAAGGCTACTAACACAGCCGCACCCGAAAACATTACTTTTTGCAACATAAGGAGATGAAGCACAAAATGAGCAGAAATAATGACTCCGGTTGCATTTGTATGATTTAATATGATTAAACCTCAAAATCGAAGATCACAGCAATTCAAAAACATCGAAAAAATGGACAGCACCATTAAAAAACACTCAAAAAAGTTTCATGATGGCGTGTTGCAACCTTATCCGTGACATCCGTAGCATTTCAACAAACGAAGTAATTTTCATTAATTTTTAGGTTCATTTAAAGCATTTAAATTCAAGTCACTGAGAGGAGAGGCAAGTCCCACAACCCCCCGTTCTTTTAGTGAGGCAGCTAAAATTGGCATCTGAGAAACTTGGAAACCATCACTAAGGAGGGAACTCATGCACAATCCTCCAAAATGGTGGAAGGGGTGCGGTAAAACGCGTTCTGGCTAAGATGTTTAGTTCAAGAACCTCTGGATATTCAACACACATTCAAAATACAGGAAGCTCACTAAACATGAAGACGGGGAGACAAAGAATACTACACAATCACCGGTTGTCTCCACAATGTGAAAAAGGGGCTGATGTCATTTTTTTTAAGAGAAAAAGTAACAACAGTAGGTTTTGTATGTGATTATTACGCATATATGAACTCAAAAGTTTGCAGAGATTAAGAGATGCAACAACATGCTGTAATATAATACATCAGATATGGAGCAGTATTCAGCAATATTCAGACTCCATGACAACAATATTCAGACTTCATGACAACAGTCTGTAAATAATCCAGACTGATCAAGGCCAACCAGTGATCGATATTGTGAACAACAGTCAGTGTCATCATACCCGGTACATTAGTATGATGATGACAACACAAGAGCGATAATCAGGGTAAACCTGGGATAAGCAGGGACACTACTCTCAATCCAGAAACTAGGGCTGGGACGGGTAACTCGGGTACTCAGGTCGGGTGGGTACTGAGGAGGACCCGGGTACCCACAGACCTACCCGGACCCGTTGTTCGCATTTCTTTCTGACTATGCACCCGTACCTTCTGACCTCTATAGGTTTGAAAAAAAGATAAAACTTCAGTCAACTTCGGTGTATGCATAACCAGATCGTTTTATATGTGTATCAAAATACATTTTGACAGGGCTGCGGTCAAACAATTGCCAATTATGTAAACAACTCTTGAGTGTGTGTGTGTGTGTGTGTGTGTGTGTGGTGTGTGGTGTGTGGTGTGTGTGTGTGTGTGTGTGTTAACCTGGCAGTAAATTTGGACTCGTCCCAGCCCTACTATAAACTACATTCTCAATAAACACCTCTGATACTCTATGCTAAATGTACCTTTCAGCATGAAACGAACACCAGCAACAGTTCCAACCCATAAAATTAAATGGTAAACACTCAGCCAGGCCAATCTCACCATATTTCACATTTGTCCAAATTCTCATACATGGAAGACATAGATATATACATCCATACTACTCAAAAGAATTAAGGAACACCGATTTTTTTTCATGTGACGTAGATAATGTCATGGCTGGTGGGTACTGCAACACACAGCCTTCCGGTGGTGGGTGTTCTTAACTTGTTTTGAGAAGTGAAGTTACAATTTCTTAGAGAAAAGTTACAGGCCGTAATAAGAGGAAAGCACCGATTGGTTCTTCAATCTGTCCGCAGCTAGCCCTGTGATTGGTCGTTGTATACTGTCATTGCAGCTAACCCACAGCAGTCGATCCATGGTAGGCGTGGAAGCATAGGTTTTTACAAAAAAGTGTTTCTAGTTAGCAACTATGGCAAGTACATACTTACAGTTCTCGGTGCATAATAATTATCATTCTCCTTTTTCCCAAATGCACTTCTATTATCCAGTGAATTATTATCATGATTATTATTTACAATTTCACTCTGAACCTATTCACAACATAGCTTCCTTTCAGTGTCGATTTCCATCTCTCTTTAACTTAGCACCAAATTTTTCTCGCCCATAATCTTCAAATTAATAACCAAAATTCAATCTACATTGAAATTATAGCTTTCTCAAAATAGCTTATTAAATCAGAAAACTGTTAGAAATGAACTTTTAGCTCAAAAAGATGTTATCCTGGGTAAGTCTGGTTGTACTAGATAGGTTGGTCTGGTTGAGATAGTAAGTAAATGTTGAGGCGAGAATCACATCGTGTTTCAATCACGACAAAACTGGATATATATTTATAGTGTCATGTTAGTGAATGGGTTCAGGGTATTTATAAAACAGAATGGATATTTTACACACTGTATTTCTGAAGGTGTGACAGGCTTGGATATGGTTCAGGTACCATCGGTACATCTTGTTCATTGATCTGAATAGTCAATATTATCAATAGAGTTATATTACAAACATTTTCAATATGACAAAATCATATAAAAGTCACTTATGCCTATATCTTGCAGTACACAAAGACTCCGTACACAGGACCTTTGAATTCCATTATAGTGAAGATCAACATGGCAGCCACTCAAGGTCAAGGTTACTTCTTGTCAAAGGGACATCACTCATATCTTCCAGTATTCTCCAGAACTTCATTATTACTTCAACTATAATGTGACTTATCACAGTCGTAGCCTAAACACTTAATTAAATATCAAATATGTCTGTATACGGCCCATCACACTCACACATATACTTTAGGCCCTGTGCCCCTGTGGTTTTACACACAGTGTATCCTATTCACTGAGGTAAGGTTCATGTCTTTATCTTGACCAGCAGTGGGTCTTAATGTCAGAGCTTGAAACTCAGATCGACCCAGAAATCTGCTTCACACATTGTACCCATGTCGGGAATCAAATGCGGGTCTTCAGCATGACGCTTTAACCACTAGGCTACCAGACCGCCTCCTTATACATTATGCAAAATATTGAGTTTAATGGGAAATTCAACAAAAGGTGTTATGTATGCTGGTGTATATCATCTGTATTCATTTCATAATACTGTTTATAGCTGCTTAACTTGAGGAACAATCACGATGTCAAATAGCAATGTTTTGAGGACTTGAGACATTTAATCAGTTCAAAATTCTGTTTCCCTATATTTGATATCCAGGGAAAACATCCCAGTGCTTGTATTCAGAGAAATTTCTTAGAATGAATTCAATAATTTACTTGTCGATTCCCTTTAAGCAGCTTACTGGAAAGATTTTCTTAACTGAAACAACAGCGCCTGGTTTTGTGGCTAAGCATAGCTGGAAGAAATTAATACGACCTGAAAATACATTTTCATGCCAAATTTGATAACTTCCGTGAGAAAACAAAGTTGTTTGTATGTTTGTAATTTAACGCTGATCTCAGCAATATTCCAGCTATATGATGTACAATGGGATGAGGTTAACTTGCCTGCTAGGTGTGACAGATTGGGGATACCAAGGAGAGAGTAAGAACTATATTTCCAGCAGCTGACCTTGACATTGCATCCACGACCTCTATAAACTGGATGTGTGACACATGTGGGACTAATCACATTCTGGCACGGATATTATGAACAGGTTTGAAATCTGTCACAGATTTCTCAAATGGACCTTTTTGTCTTAGTCAGTAGTACTTTCAGTTTTGTTAAAATATACTTGATAATGATGGAGGGATATTTTCAAAAGGCATCAACAGGCACATAAAACATGGACAGTCACCTCCATCAGGGATGAGCTGCAGACAATTTGTCTAGAATATTTCAAAGATGGAGGGATGGGAAAGGCTATCACTTGACTCAGTTCTAATCCATAGGTCATCTTGGCCAGCTTGACTCTTGTAACCGTGGTAACTGGGTCCCAGTACTGCTGAAGTCAGTAAGTCAAGGTCCATGAAGGAATTTCCTGGTGTCAACTTGGCCAGCTTGACTCTTGTAACCATGGTAACTGGGTCCCAGTACTGCAAAAGTCAGTAAGTCAAGGTCCATGAAGGAATTTCCTGGTGTCAACTTGGCCAGCTTGACTCTTGTAACCATGGTAACTGGGTCCCAGTACTGCTGAAGTCAGTAAGTCAAGGTCAATGAAGGAATTTCCTGGTGTCAACTTGGCCAGCTTGACTCTTGTAACCATAGTAACTGGGTCCCAGTACTACTGAAGTCAGTAACAGTCAAGGTCCATGAGGGAATGTCCTGGGGTCAACCTGGCCAGCTTGACTCTTGTAACCGTGGTAACTGGGTCCCAGTACTGCTGAAGTCAGTAAGTCAAGGTCCATGAAGGAATTTCCTGGTGTCAACTTGGCCAGCTTGACTCTTGTAACCATGGTAACTGGGTCCCAGTACTGCAAAAGTCAGTAAGTCAAGGTCCATGAAGGAATTTCCTGGTGTCAACTTGGCCAGCTTGACTCTTGTAACCATGGTAACTGGGTCCCAGTACTGCAAAAGTCAGTAAGTCAAGGTCCATGAGGGAATGTCCTGGGGTCAACCTGGCCAGCTTGACTCTTGTAACCATAGTAACTGGGTCCCAGTACTGCTGAAGTCAGTAACAGTCAAGGTCCATGAAGGAATTTCCTGGTGTCAACTTGGCCAGCTTGACTCTTGTAACCATAGTAACTGGGTCCCAGTACTGCTGAAGTCAGTAACAGTCAAGGTCCATGAGGGAATGTCCTGGGGTCAACCTGGCCAGCTTGACTCTTGTAACCATGGAAACCGGGTCCCAGTACTGTTGAAGTCAGTTACAGTCAAGGTCCATGAGGGAATTTCCTGGGGTCAACCTGGCCAGCTTGACTCTTGTAACCATGGTAACCGGGTCCCAGTACTGCTGAAGTCAGTAACAGTCAAGGTCCATGAGGGAATGTCCTGGGGTCAACCTGGCCAGCTTGACTCTTGTAACCATAGTAACTGGGTCCCAGTACTGCTGAAGTCAGTAACAGTCAAGGTCCATGAGGGAATGTCCTGGGGTCAACCTGGCCAGCTTGACTCTTGTAACCATAGTAACCGGGTCCCAGTACTGCTGAAGTCAGTAACAGTCAAGGTCCATGAGGGAATGTCCTGGGGTCAACCTGGCCAGCTTGACTCTTGTAACCATGGTAACCGGGTCCCAGTACTGCTGAAATCAGTAACAGTCAAGGTCCATGAGGGAGTGTCCTGGGGTCAACTTGGCCAGCACACTTGAGAAGATGGAGGGGTCAGAGAGACTTTGACAAGATTCCTCTAGCTGTTTTCTACACTGGATGTGAAAACTGGCATCTGAAAATACATCCAACCAAGGAAAATTTTACCATGGTAAAAAAGGAAAAAAACCTACAAATTTACTTTTGGATGAGGGGTGTGCACAAGCAACTATCTTTATACATATAGTCAAGTCTCGTTAATCCGACAATCGGCTTTATCTGATACTAATGATGGGAACCGATTAAATCAGTGCTATTTAGACCCGTAAATCCGACAGTCTCGCACTCCAACTCCAACACACCTAATTTGCAACGAATTACCGAAATCGCTCATTAATCAGTCTCATTAATCAAACTCAGTACTCAGCCCGTGTTTTGATGCGAGACAAGCCGGCTGGTAGCTGCATATTACAACAGCTGCAGAGATAAACTTGCTTAACAATAAACAATTAATGCTTTAAATAAAGAAAACAGGATTAATCACATGCTTAGATTACCTCAATCTCATTAAAGTCAGACATAAGATTTAGCTATCACTGAGGACATCCCATTAAGGTCACGTCAGAGCAACCTTAAGCGAACTATGACCAACCAATGAAATGACTAACAGGAAGTCAACGTTAGCCACTAAGAAAGCAGCTTAGGCTTTGTGGTACCATTTTCGAACTGGCGACTTCCATTCCAGACTATGCTTTTAACGTATTTTGAATAAGTCATACAGTCCTTAACAGTTGTTTTGTGTTGAGCTTTAGAGGTTGCATGATTAGAAAACATATTCCACTAACAATGTAACATAACAATATGAATAATTCATTTTTCATTTTCTTTTTACTTCTTTGTATCGTCCCCTAACGTGTAGTTGTCCGATTTTCTATCACGAACGTTGATACTACTTAATTTCGTTTATCTGACATTATCATCCAAAACTGGCTCCCACAGGAGATATCGCTTGGATGAGATCAAGCGATATCTACACTGTAGATATCGCTGCAATGAAATTACATCACAATGCTTTGCAGACCATTGTGACGTCACTGGTTACCATGACGTCACAATCAAATGACATCACTAATGGCTCTGCTACTGAAGCTGTTTGCAGTACTTTTTACACTGAAGACACTGCTAATTACTGTCTACAAATTGAAAAAGTTGAAAGAATGATGTTGGATGATAAATAAAATCTCACCTTGTGTCTTTTGATATCAAATATATCAACACTCGTTGATAAAAGTGGGAAAAATCCTCGGCAAGCCTCGGAATTTTTCCACTTTTATCAACTCGTGTTGATATATTTGATATCAAAAGACACTCGGGTGAGATTCTCTATTTCTTATTAATCCGTCATAATCATATGCAACCAACCATGTCGGGACTTGTCTGTACTTTTTTCTCCACATTGCCGATAAAACAGCAAATTTGAAGTGTATCTTGCGTTTGTAATTACACCGCTAAGATTGATTGTCATGTCCAAACATTGACACACATTGACCAACATTGACACACATTGACACACATTGACGCCTGTTTGTCCCGGCCTTACCTGACACAGTCAGCAGAAGCGACGGCTCATCCAGGATCCTGTTGATGATGGAGGCCCCCAGCTTCAGGTGTCGCTGGTGGACACGGTTGTTGATGTTCTTGGCAACACCGAGCAACGTCTTCTGTACAACACTTGGTGCCACTTGGGATCTGTGTAGAAACAAATATAACATAACACCAGTCCAAATATCAAGTTGTTTGTTTTTCAGTGCTGCAGGTGATCAACCATGTTAACATCAACACTTGAGGAGGTGAGGTGAAATGGGGTTTAACGTCGCGTCCAAGATTATTGCACTTATATAGCGACATGCATGTAGGTGTATGTGTGTGTGTGGCTGCTTGTACTAGTCGGGACTGATGACGATTTATAGTGCTAGCTCACTGAGATACCATGCCGCAGTTTAACATGAATACCCCACTCAGACACAGTATACTGACTCCGAGCCGACCAGTCCTTGTTTTAGCCCCTTAATGCTGAGCGCCAGACAGGTTAACAACAAGTACAATCTTTTAACGTCTTTTTGTATGACGCTGACGGGGATTGAACCCCGGACCGTCTGCACTCTGGGCGGATGCCCTACCACCAGACCACGGAGGCGGTCTCAACAGCTGAGGAACACTGACTTCACTGGACACACTGCTCAAGAAGAGCAAAGTATGAGACATATTTTAAGTGCTCTTTGCAGAGTTGTGTCCCTTAATCATGCCAGGATCTGATGATTGTATCTAAGTGCTCTTTGCAGGGTTGTGTCCCTTAGTCATGCCAGGATTGGATGATTGTATCTCAGTGCATCAGTAAACAGAGACACAGTGGATATTTAATGGTGGAGGACAAATATGCTGTCTAACTCGAAAGTGTCATCGTCTTCAAGCCATGATGTGGCAGTGCTGCTTCAGGGATCTAGAATTAGTCAAGACAAGAAGCTTGAACTTATAACAGTGTAATTGAAACTTTGCCGTTATATTTTTGTTTGTGGTTAGCATAAACCAATGATTGATTACCTAACTTACGTGACTAATTGTCTGTCAGTGCACCTTTGTTCAAATGTGCGATAATGAAAGTGAAGTTTTCAAGCATATCAGTTCAAACTATACGTCTTTATGTATTGTTTGTTTAACACTGCACTCAGCAATATTCCAGCTATATGACTGCGGTCTGTAAATAATCAAGTCCGGACCAGATAATCCAGTGATTGACATCATGAGCATTGATCTACTGAAATTGCGAGCAAGACCACACGATCCCATTAGTCACCTCATATGAAAGTTATGGGCTGCTTAGTTCTAACCCGGATCTTCATGGGTCACTTAGTTGGTGAGTGCACCAACAACCAGTAAATTTTGAGAATGATGATATCTGTTTATCGCCACTTGGGAAAGATGGAGGATTTACATCACTGATAGATTTGACTACTGCACTGCCAATCATTTACTCCTGAAACCAGTTAAAGAACACCCACAATGGGCTGGTTGGTTGGTTTGTTGTTTTTGCCGCACTCAGCAATATTCCAGCTATATGACGGCAGTCTGGAAATAATAAAGTCTGGACCAGACAATCCAGTGATTGACATCATGAGCATCGGTCCACATAATTGGGATCGATGACATGCATACCAAGTCAGCGAGCCTGACCACCCGATCCCGTTAGTCGCCTCGCACGACAAGCATAGTCGCCTGTTACGGCAAGCATGGGTTGCTGAAGACCTATTCTACCCCGGATCTTCACGGGTCCCACAATTGGAAGGCTGAGTTGGAAGGATAAGTTGCAATACACACCAGCCTAGACGGATGAAAAGTTCGAGTGTTCTTTAACTTATTAGTAGTATATGATAAATACCTGTATCTCACTGCGTCAATCAGACTGATGACAATGTTCGGGTCAAAATCCATCATGGTCAACTCCGGCTTGTACTGGGACGAGAAGAAGCGCTGCAGGGCAGGGGACAGTTGCCCAGTCTTCAGCACGTCTCCCACGGGCTTCTCTATCGACGTGTAGGCCTCCTTGTCCTCATCCATGAAGGCAAGGGAGCACACTCGGCACACAATCTGGAACATGGGATGAGGCATTCTGGGATGGATTGCAACAATGTATGACATGACAGTATTTTGTTATAAGCTGAGTCAGTGTTCCTTCTGGCTGACTAACCAGTGGTTGATACTATGAAGAACCTCAGGCTTTTGAGGATTGATGATATGCAATCACCCCGATCACACGATTCATTTAGTCACCTCGAAAGACAAGTATAGATTGACAAGGACCTTTTTTAATTTGGAACCTGCATCACTTCAGACTTTCCTCCCACATTAAATTTGCACACCGTTAACTGGAATACTTCCACCCACCTTCTGCTCCTCTGTTCCAATAAGAAAGTTTTAGTACTTAATAATGGGGTTTCAGTGTATATTGGTCACAATTTCTGAAAACAATATTCACAATTACCAACCTGAGTTTTAACCAGCCTGTCAAGGAACTGAATATCAGCAGCAGAGTAGTCAATCACCTCCTCCTCCTCCTCTGAGATCTCATCCCCCACTCCAAACTTCCCTTCTCCCCCACCCATGCTCCGCATCAAGCCACAGTCAATCTGACCCAGTTCATTGAACAAAGACACACCATTCTGAGAATCGTCGCCACTGAATGTAGACGTGACCACATCAGGGCGGCAGCCACTGCCAGCCATTTCACTGCCATTATCACAGATACCATTGCTTTGCATATGTTTCAAGTCACCAGTTTCTTGTCCATCGTTCAGTCCTTTAACAATGTCCTTGGTTGTGTAGGAGCCATTTTCAAATTTAGAATTGTCACTGTCAGAACGTCCTTTCACTGACGTTACATCAGCCTCCATGTTTGAATTGGATGGGGATAAATTCCTTTTGTTTGTATCGTCTTCCGTGGATTCATCCGAGCTCGAGTCATACACACCGGGACCATTGAGGTCAACGAAAGATACTCTCCTCTCATTGGATCGCAAGTTCTCGTATGACCTTGACTTCTTGAGAATTCCATCAACATGTTCGTCATCGGACATCTCCTCATTGTCGCTCTCATCACCTGTATTACTCTCCAGCCACAAAATCTGCTTTTGTCTGAGAAAAAACAAAAAGAAATTTTCTTGTTAAAACATTTGATGTTTTTCTTGTAAAACACTGAAATCAGCAATAGTCCAGCTATATCCAAGAGCCAGAGAAACCAGTGGTTGATAGCATGAGGAACATCCCATGTACACAGTCAGAGGTGAGGTGAAGTTAAATGGGGTTTAACGTCACGTCCAAGATTATTGCACCGACTGAGATACCATGCCACAGTTTAACATGAATACCCCACTCAGACACAGCATACTGACGACTCCCAGCCGACTAGTCCTTGTTTTAGCCCCTTAATGCCGATCGCCAGACAGGGTAACAAAAAGTATCATCTTTTAACGTCTTTTGGTATGACACAGCTGGGGATCATCCACTCTATGGGTGGATGCTCTATCACTGGACCATGGAGTCAGAGCCACATCACCCGATCACCATCTCTGTTTTGAAGTATGTCAATTCAAACTTTACGGCTTGGCATTTTGTTTGTTTGTTGTTTAATGCCACACTCAGCAATATTCCAGCTATATGACGGCTGTCTGTGAATAATTGAGTCTGGATCAGACAATCCAGTGATTGACATCATAAGCATCGATCCACGCAACTGGGATATGATGACATGCATCAACTAAGTCAGCGAGCCTGACCACCCGATCCCCTTAGTCTCCTCTTTCGACAAGCAATCTCTTAAGGCAAGCATGGGTTGCCGAAGACCTATTCTACGCAGGCTCTCCATGGGTCCAGATCTTACAACAAGCATGACCTACTGGAGATGTCGGACCTAGAATCCCAAGGGAGTAGTCCTGCCAGAGTGATCTGAATTTTTAATCTCTGAAACTGATTCTTGACCTTGACTTACTTTAACTGCTCCAGTCTGGCCATCACATACAGGAACCTTCGACCTTCCATGGTCACACTAAGGTCAGAGGTGAAGGTCTTCATGGCTTCATGTATGACCCCTGTGGCACTTTGTTGCAGGTAGTCAAGGAGACCAGCTAGCTTCTCCACCCCCTGCACCAGCTTCTGCTTGCCACTCCGCTCTGAAATAAACAGGGTGAATAGGTTGTGAATAGGTTATGTATAGGTTATGTATAGGTTATGAATAGGAATGAATAAGAATGAATAGGTTGTGAATAGGAATGAATAGGTTGTGATTAGTATGTGAATAGGATGTGAATAGGAATGAATAGGTTGTGATTAGGAATGAATAGGTTGTGAATAGGATGTGAATAGGAATGAATAGGTTGTGAATAGGAATGAATAGGTTGTTAATGGGATGTGAATAGGGTGTGAATATGTTGTGAATGGGATGTGAATAGGATGTGAATAGGTTGTGATTAGGTTGTGAATGCAATATGCATAGCAGACCCAAGTAGCAGATAAAATATGCCCCAATCAATGGACAAACAACATCTCAATCTGACGTCCCAAATGAGTCAGTTATTGGTCAAAGTAGTTACAACTTCTTTGAACACATGATGTGGCTTCTACAACACATATTACGAGCTTGGTGACACATTCTATCTTAAACACAAAGCAGACACCTAACTAGGAACATGAAAGTGAAAATTACCTACAGCATGTATACCTGGTTTAAGGAGGCCTAGCTTCAGGGACCGACCCTTTGATATTTTTTGGCAGGGTTGTATTTTAGTGAAAAAAAACCAGAATGTTGAAACATACAGAAGTTGTAACCCACAAAAACAAGCGTATAGTTGACAAAGTCATCTATATCCCCCGCCTATTTTAACACGTTTTGGTCCCAAACCAGGTAACTGACCCAACATTTCTCTTAGCCCATGTCAAAATAGCTGTAATGGAAATTCTAAAATATACATTTCTAAAACTCCTTAATATCAAATGGCACCAGTTAAGTATGTGCTTTATATATAGACATGCAATGTTTGGCAAGGAAATATTTAACAGTTTATTTGTTATACTCGATAAGTAAACCCACCCTATAATAGAACCTAAACCCAACTTGTTGTCATGGAAACATAAACAATAAAAATTTCTAAAAGTGCTTAATATCAAAAGGCACCAGTTCAGTATGTGTCTGGTAAACATGCAAAGTTTTGGGAGAAATTATTTAACAGTTTTTGAGTTACGCTCCAGAAACGAACAGCACCCTCATAGAACCTAAGTCCAACTTGTTGCAATGGAAACGTAAAAAATAAAAATTTATAAAACTCCTAAATAGCGAAAGGCACCAGTTCAGTATGTGTCTGGTAAACATGCAAAGTTTTGGAAGAAATTATTTAACGGTTGTTGAGTTACGCTCCGGAAACGAACTTCGTTGGGGCGGGGGATAATTACATTGTTGCAAGGTGTTTTCTTAAAAATATATTCAGGCTCACTGTGTAAATATAAATTAACAGCAGTAAAATCATTTTGTAGCTGTAAAAAAGAAATTATCTAATCGCAAGACAAAATCCCAGCTCAAACACCATGATACAGACACTATCTGGTCACGGAGGCCTACCTCTATCAATGATGCTGTTGGCCAGTTCAAACACCATGATACAGACACTATCTGGTCACGGAGGCCTACCTCTATCAATGATGCTGTTGGCCAGCTCAAACACCATGATACAGACACTATCTGGTCACGGAGGCCTACCTCTATCAATGATGCTGTTGGTCAGTTCAAACACCATGATACAGACAATATATGGTCACGGAGGCCTACCTCTATCAATGATGCTGTTGGCCAGCTCAAACACCATGATACAGACACTATCTGGTCACAGAGGCCTACCTCTATCAATGATGCTGTTGGCCAGCTCAAACACCATGATACAGACATTATCTGGTCACGGAGGCCTACCTCTATCAACGATGCTGTTGGCCAGTTCAAACACCATGATGCAGACACTATCTGGTCACGGAGGCCTACCTCTATCAACGATGCTGTTGGCCAGTTCAAACACCATGATACAGACAATATATGGTCACGGAGGCCTACCTCTATCAATGATGCTGTTGGCCAGCTCAAACACCATGGTACAGACACTATCTGGTCACGGAGGCCTACCTCTATCAACGATGCTGTTGGCCAGTTCAAACACCATGATACAGACAATATATGGTCACGGAGGCCTACCTCTATCAATGATGCTGTTGGCCAGCTCAAACACCACGATACAGACACTATCTGGTCACGGAGGCCTACCTCTATCAATGATGCTGTTGGCCAGCTCAAACACCATGATACAGACACTATCTGGTCACGGAGGCCTACCTCTATCAATGATGCTGTTGGCCAGCTCAAACACCATGATACAGACACTATCTGGTCACGGAGGCCTACCTCTATCAACGATGCTGTTGGCCAGCTCAAACACCATGATACAGACACTATCTGGTCACGGAGGCCTACCTCTATCAATGATGCTGTTGGCCAGCTCAAACACCATGATACAGACACTATCTGGTCACGGAGGCCTACCTCTATCAACGATGCTGTTGGCCAGCTCAAACACCATGATACAGACACTATCTGGTCACGGAGGCCTACCTCTATCAACGATGCTGTTGGCCAGCTCAAACACCATGATACAGACACTATCTGGTCACGGAGGCCTACCTCTATCAATGATGCTGTTGGCCAGCTCAAACACCATGATACAGACACTATCTGGTCACGGAGGCCTACCTCTATTAATGATGCTGTTGGCCAGCTCAAACACCATGGTACAGACACTATCTGGTCACGGAGGCCTACCTCTATCAACGATGCTGTTGGCCAGTTCAAACACCATGGTACAGACACTATCTGGTCACGGAGGCCTACCTCTATCAACGATGCTGTTGGCCAGCTCAAACACCATGGTACAGACACTATCTGGTCACGGAGGCCTACCTCTATCAACGATGCTGTTGGCCAGTTCAAACACCATCGTACAGACAATATATGGTCACGGAGGCCTACCTCTATCAATGATGCTGTTGGCCAGCTCAAACACCATGATACAGACAATATATGGTCACGGAGGCCTACCTCTATCAATGATGCTGTTGGCCAGCTCAAACACCATGGTACAGACAATATATGGTCATGGAGGCCTACCTCTATCAACGATGCTGTTGGCTAGCTCAAACACCATGATACAGACACTATCTGGTCACGGAGGCCTACCTCTATCAATGATGCTGTTGGCCAGCTCAAACACCATGATACAGACACTATCTGGTCACGGAGGCCTACCTCTATCAATGATGCTGTTGGCCAGCTCAAACACCATGATACAGACACTATCTGGTCACGGAGGCCTACCTCTATCAAGGATGCTGTTGGCCAGTTCAAACACCATCGTACAGACAATATATGGTCACGGAGGCCTACCTCTATCAATGATGCTGTTGGCTAGCTCAAACACCATGATACAGACACTATCTGGTCACGGAGGCCTACCTCTATCAATGATGCTGTTGGCCAGCTCAAACACCATGATACAGACACTATCTGGTCACGGAGGCCTACCTCTATCAATGATGCTGTTGGCCAGTTCAAACACCATGATACAGACACTATCTGGTCACGGAGGCCTACCTCTATCAATGATGCTGTTGGCCAGCTCAAACACCATGATACAGACACTATCTGGTCACGGAGGCCTACCTCTATCAACGATGCTGTTGGCCAGTTCAAACACCATGGTACAGACACTATCTGGTCACGGAGGCCTACCTCTATCAACGATGCTGTTGGCCAGCTCAAACACCATGGTACAGACACTATCTGGTCACGGAGGCCTACCTCTATCAACGATGCTGTTGGCCAGTTCAAACACCATCGTACAGACAATATATGGTCACGGAGGCCTACCTCTATCAATGATGCTGTTGGCCAGCTCAAACACCATGATACAGACAATATATGGTCACGGAGGCCTACCTCTATCAATGATGCTGTTGGCCAGCTCAAACACCATGGTACAGACAATATATGGTCATGGAGGCCTACCTCTATCAACGATGCTGTTGGCTAGCTCAAACACCATGATACAGACACTATCTGGTCACGGAGGCCTACCTCTATCAATGATGCTGTTGGCCAGCTCAAACACCATGATACAGACACTATCTGGTCACGGAGGCCTACCTCTATCAATGATGCTGTTGGCCAGCTCAAACACCATGATACAGACACTATCTGGTCACGGAGGCCTACCTCTATCAAGGATGCTGTTGGCCAGTTCAAACACCATCGTACAGACAATATATGGTCACGGAGGCCTACCTCTATCAATGATGCTGTTGGCTAGCTCAAACACCATGATACAGACACTATCTGGTCACGGAGGCCTACCTCTATCAATGATGCTGTTGGCCAGCTCAAACACCATGATACAGACACTATCTGGTCACGGAGGCCTACCTCTATCAATGATGCTGTTGGCCAGTTCAAACACCATGATACAGACACTATCTGGTCACGGAGGCCTACCTCTATCAATGATGCTGTTGGCCAGCTCAAACACCATGATACAGACACTATCTGGTCACGGAGGCCTACCTCTATCAACGATGCTGTTGGCCAGCTCAAACACCATGATACAGACACTATCTGGTCACGGAGGCCTACCTCTATCAACGATGCTGTTGGCCAGCTCAAACACCATGGTACAGACAATATATGGTCATGGAGGCCTACCTCTATCAACGATGCTGTTGGCCAGTTCAAACACCATGGTACAGACAATATATGGTCACGGAGGCCTACCTCTATCAATGATGCTGTTGGCCAGCTCAAACACCATGGTACAGACAATATCTGGTCACGGAGGCCTACCTCTATCAATGATGCTGTTGGCCAGCTCAAACACCATGGTACAAAGACTGGCGAGAGTGCGGCAGCCGGACTGGGTGACAAACAGCGAGTGTGTATGGCGCTTCATGGCTCGCAGAATCAACTCAATGGCCGTCTCCCTCAACGGGGCCTGAAACAGACACGGAACATCAACATCCCTAAAAACATAACAAAGCAATCACATACTTCTTTGGATTAAACCTAAATTAATACTTCCAAATACTACAACCTTCAGAAACTTACTCTGCAATTTTACAAAAGCTATCTATGTTGTTTAGATTCATATCATCTGAACTGACTTAGCTAATCTACCAACAGGTCAGTAGAGATTTTAAGCCCACTCGTCTTTCATTTTTTCTATTTACAGCAAGTCCACTGATCAAATTGATCGTTGAAATACCATTAAACATACATCCCTCTCTCCAAACTCCTCAAACTTTAAACAAGATAATTATCTTCTGATACTGATACTGCAATGAGTGTGAGTTAGCCACATCACTTCAGTTACATCAAAGTGTGGTGGTGAAATGAGGTACTGAACATAGTTCAAATATTACTTTGTGCTATGACATAACAAATAAAGTATTAGTCACAACTATGTCCCTATAATTTGTGCTCAATTACAGCTAATATCTTTCTATCTACAAATAACTACAGAGACATTGTCTTATCAAGCATTTTTAACAAAGCGTTCATGTACATCATTAACAAAAGGTTAGTAATGCTGGCTGATGCTTTTGAAGAGATGAGTGAGACTCAATCTGGCTTTAGGCAAGGATACTCGACAACTGATAATATATTCATGTTGCAAACAATTATAGAAAAGTACCTAGCAAAGAAGGGTGGTAAATTATACACAATTTTTGTAGATTTCTTTAAAGCCTTTGATTGTTAGCAGAAATAAATTATGGTCACATTTCAAAGCACATGGTCTTAGCAGTAAAATTGGAAAGTTAATGTGCTGTCTGTATCAGAATGTAAAGGTTTGTGTACGAAATAACGGTATCGTGTCTGACACCTTTGAAATCAATATTGGTGTTAAGAAAGGGTGTGTATAATGTCCATTTTTGTTCTCCTTCCTTTAATTAGCTCAACAAATTCAGCAGAACTGTTCTGATGACATCTAACTTCACCCGGAAACTATAAAGTTATTTCTTCTTTTGTTTGCTATGATATAGTTATGTTTCGAAAGCACAATACCTGGACTACGAAGAAAATTAATCAGCTGGAATGTTATTGCAAAGAATGGAATTTATCTGTCAAGAATAAGACAAAAGTTATTGTTTTTAAAATGGTGGGCCTCTAGTTATAAGAGAGAAATGTTTTATCAAGGGCATTTATTAGATGTTGCATTGTTCTATAAGTACTTAGGTATGTATCTTACATACAGATTGTCATGGAAGATACATGCTAACCAATACATTCTTTAACCTTTAGCATAAGTCAAATTTTGTCTCATGGAGCAGAGGTTTGGGGATGAGAAATTTTTAAAGCTATAGAAAAAGTACATTTATATGCATGCTAAAGATTCCTTGGTGTGAAACCTAGTACGTCTAATCTAATGGTCTATGGCGAATGTGGAAGATACCCATTAACCATGTTTGTTGAGGGAGAAGACGAGTAAATACTGGATTAAATTAGTTCAAATGCCTGAAACAAGATATCCAAAGAAATGTTTTAATGTTATAACATGTTATTACTCTATGATCAACAAGGACGGACTAACTGTTAACCATTAGCTTTATTCATGTAGTTATGGTAATACAAGTGTATGGACAGAAAGGACATGTATATACCAGATCATTTCATAGATGCTTTTACTTGGACCCTGAAAGATATGAATATTTCAACTTGGCATTTTTCCTTATCAGTATCCAATAAACTATAACATTATTCCCTCTTCAAAAACAGCTTCTGTGGAGAGCAATACTTTTTAAATGTAACACTAAAAACATTTAAAATTGCACTTGCAAGATTCAGATGTAGTTCCCACAAACTCTTTACCGAGACAGGAAGATACAGGGGATCATGATAGGGACACAGAAGGTGTCAGTTTTGTGATTTAAACACTGCACAAAGTGAATACCATTTCTTACTAATATGTCAGTTGTATGCTGAATTCAGAAAACAGTTCATTAATAAATATAATGTCCGTTATCCAACTTAACAGAAACTTGTTTCGTTAATGTCAAGTAACAATGTAGTAATAACAAAAAAACTGTCAATGTACATATTGCATGCTATGAAGCTAAGGAGTTCAACATGTGTTACGTTATAAATGTATATATACCCATTACTTTATAACATGTACTTAAGGCCTATGAGTGAGTGAGTGAGTGAGTGAGTATGGTTTTACGCCGATCTTAACAATATTCCAGCAATATCACAGCAGGGGACACCAGAAATGGGCTTCACACATTGTCCCCATGTCGGGAATCGAACAAGGGGTCTTCAGCATGACCAGCGAACGCTTTAACCACTAGGCTACCCGACCGCCCCTCTCTAGGCCTATGGCCTTTCAGTATTATAAATTAATTCATACTGAATCTTTCTTTCCAATCTCTCCTTAACGTTTAGCTAAAATATAGAAATAAGCTTAAACTTCAATGACCTTAAGTAAACACAACATGATGCAAGTCTTAGACATTTACAACTTGGGGAAACTCATGATCCCTGATTTGATGCAAAGAGACCACGGATCATAAAAGGGCCAAATCTGAGAACAGTGCATCTTAGCACAGCTGAAAGAGTTACTTTACCTTTTCATCAATGGATGGAGTATACGTGGCAACTTTACACAAGATGTCGATCCCATTTTGCTGAACCTCCACTTCATCCACATAGACAGACATTGAACCCAATATGGCTGCTGTTGCTTGGCAACCAATAAAGGTTGCGAGGTTACTTGGTACATGGCTCAAGGCTCTCAGAAGTTTCAGACACAAAGACACATGGGACACAGGATCCTGAAAAAGTGATTGCAATTTATTGCAATAATGATTCATGTATTGTGAGGTGTACCGCAATATAGTGTATGTGTTCTTTCATCTGTAATTTTTAGTGAACCTGGAAAAAAAGTTTCCCCTGCACTTTTTGTACAACTTCAATGTTGTCCACCATTTTGTAGTTGTCCACCATGTTGCTATGGTCACAATGCATGCGTAATAGACATATTATATACATGAAACGGGTCGCAAATAGTTTCATTTGATCCATTAGTATTGTCTATACTGGTATACCAGTAATCCTGCGCACCTCTAGTGTGGTGTGGGCATCTTCCATAGGCAAGGGAGTTAACTGACTATAAAAGTCCAGTTTCCACCCTTGCCCAACTAGACTGGCATTATGGAGTTATATTTTGGCTGGAGTAACTAGTCTATGCATAGTCCAATCAAAATCGTGTAACGAAAGCAACATTCGGTTCTTAAACAGTGATGGAGATTTTGATCGATTGTAGGATTTGCAAAATATGTCTAGCGCCAACTTGGCATCAACAGATATTTTCAAAAGAATTTTTAATCAAGATGCTCATGTGATTTGATGCGCTTCGCAAAAGAAAGACCCATTTTCTCACAATATCAATCTTGATTATCGACCAGATCTTGACTGCACCCCACCATTTTGTTTGAAGCAATTGCAAGTGATATGAGAGGTGGAATCTGATTGGTCAATAGGAAGGACATAGAAGGGACATAACTCGTAATAGCCACTGGTGTCACTACAATTGAGGCCAGAAACTCCAGCCTAGTTCGGCAAGGGTGGAAACTGGACTTTTATAGTCAGTTAACTCCCTTGCCTCAGGAATATGCCTTGTTGGAAACATCCCAGCTAAAAACGGTTTGGCAAAATGTGGAAACTTATACATATTGTAGGAGGGAACTATTGTGCATCACGTGTGCATGAACTTGTCACATTTTACATGGAGACAGGACAAAGGTAAAAAATATGACAGGTTCAGAGAGTGAGATTGATTATATATACACATAAATTTTAGCAATAATCATATCAAGTCAGGGTTCACATGACACTGGCTTTACACATTGTTCCCCAAAACAGATCTTCCGCGTCAGAATCAAACGCTTTGATCACAAGTCTACCCGACCATCCCAACAGGGTCAGGCAGATGTTTTTTTAAAACAAATACGCAAATGAGTGGGTTCGATTTCCCACATGGGTACAATGTGTGAAGCCCATTTCTGGTGTCCCCGCTGTGATATTGCTGGAATATTGCTAAAAGCGGCGTAAAACCATACTCACTCACTCACTACAACAAATATACTGACACAGCGTAAAACCATTCATGTCATGTGGTTTCTCCGTTTATATCTGTGAGGATGTCAATGAGTTATTGTTTTAGTCTAAGCAACAAATAACAATGAAACATGTCAATCATGCTTTAGCTGGAATTTGTTGTGGTGTCTAGTATACATGGTATATCCACAGGTTGACAGAACAAATACCAATCAATTGTTTTTGCCATTCATCATGGTCAAATCATCAAAACCAATTGCCATAGAAATACAAAGAAGAAAAAAGCATTTCTTTCAATTTTGATGCAATTGGCATAACAGTACATGTATTCATAAAACACCTGTAGTATTTTGATCACAAACACGATAACTATTTCTATTGGAGAAATATACTTCCTCCACAGATATTTGAATTGCTGAACCACGTCATGAGAAGCAAAAGTGGAACGTACCAGGAACTGTTTGAGTATTTCCACGAGTAGATGAATGATAGGGCCATGCAGAGGCCTCCCCTTGTCCGTCTCCGGCGTGGCCTGACCCTGCCGTGCCATCTCCTTCAAGAAACTTCGCAGAATATCTCTTCTGTGTGTCCCAACATCCTGTAACAGACAGATACAAGGGTGAATACAATCCTGTAACAGACAGATACAAGGGTGAAAACAATCCTGTAACAGACAGATACAAGGGTGAATACAATCCTGTAGCAGACAGAATAGTGAATACAATCCTGTAACAGACAGATACAAGGGTGAATACAATCCTGTAACAGACAGATACAAGGGTGAATACAATCCTGTAACAGATACAACGGTGAATACAATCCTGTAACAGACAGATACAAGGGTGAATACAATCCTGTAACAGACAGATACAAGGGTGAATACAATCCTGTCACAGACAGATACAAGGGTGAATACAATCCTGTAACAGACAGATACAAGGGTGAAAACAATCCTGTAACAGAAAGATACAAGGGTGAATACAATCCTGTCACAGACAGATACAAGGGTGAATACAATCCTGTAACAGACAGATACAAGGGTGAAAACAATCCTGTAACAGACAGATACAAGGGTGAATACAATCCTGTAACAGAAAGATACAAGGGTGAATACAATCCTGTAACAGACAGATACAAGGGTGAATACAATCCTGTCACAGACAGATACAAGGGTGAATACAATCCTGTAACAGACAGATACAAGGGTGAAAACAATCCTGTCACAGAACGATACAAGGGTGAATACAATCTTGTAACAGACAGATACAAGGGTGAATACAATCCTGTAACAGATAGATACAAGGGTGAATACAATCCTGTAACAGACAGACGACAGAATAGTGAATACAATCCTGTAACAGACAGATACACGGGTGAATATAATACGGTAACAGACAGAAAGAATAGTTACTACAATCCTGTAATAGATGAACGGATATAACACATACAATGGTGAATACAAACCTCTTGCCAATAGATACAATAGTGAATACAATCAGGGCTGTCTGATTTTGACATGTAGGATCGCAGACCAGGCAATCCAGTGATTGGTAGCAAGTTAACAATGATTTGCTTCAGTGAAAGCTACACAATGAATCCGCTCACACACCATCCTTGACTATCCAGCGTTGTATATCTCCATTCTATTTTGACAAATACAAATGTATGAGCCAGCCCTTAATACATTTAATCAAACAAGAAGACTGAAATAAATAATCTCATGGTTGTTTGTTTGTTTCTTTGTTGTTTAACGGTGTACTCAGCAATGTTCCAGCTATATGACGGTGGTCTGTAAATAATCGAGTCTGGACCAGACAATCCAGTGATTGATATCATGAGCATCAACTGGTCAAATGTACAAGAAATATGAACATGTGAAAACACTTATCGAAACAAAGCATGTATACTGATTTTGACATTAAGGATCCTTGTGATAAGCACGTAGATCTGTGTGGTGAAGGTTGATAACACCACAAAGAGTTCTGAACCAGTGATTGATAGCATGAATAACAACACATGGTTCTATCACTTGGTGTGAAGATGATTGTCAGCTTCCTGGGAACACATTCCTGGAGTAACAACCTCTGGTTCTGAGTGAGTGAGTGAGTTGGGTTTAACGCCGCTTTTAACAGTATTCCAGTTATATCACAGCGTGTCAGCTTAATGTGGGAGGAAAGCCAAAAGTGATGTAGGTCTCGGATGTTTACCACTCCTGTGAAACCCATGAGCACGGGTATGGTGCTGACAAACCTAGAAACATAATCGGGGTGAACCGGGATTCAAACCCACAATCATAGGTTTCTGGCATGCCCAAGGGACGCAACTCTGCACAGCGAATCGTGGCACCTAAGACAACTGGGCCACCCGTGCCCCCCCTCAGGATTGGGATAGGCCAACTAGGCTTCAGGATACTCACACAGGATTGAGTTAGTGAGGGAGATGGGTTTAAGTCTGCAATGAACAGCATTTCAGCTTAAATTGGGAGGAAAACTCATCAAGTGATGTAGGCCTTAGACAATTAAATCTTGGTGAAAAAAACACAAGCATAGGTAAAGTGCTAACAAATATATTTTGGAATCTCAAATCCAGCTGCATATTGCCTACCTGTAGCATCCTATACACCTGATCAAGCAGGGATGTTGTCATCCGTGTGTCCGTGAACTCATGGATCTGTTTGTTGATACAGCCTGCAGCCAAACTGGATAACTGAAACATGGTACCACAGTCTTACATGAGTGAGTGAGTGGGTGGGTGGGTTTGAGTGAGTGATTGAGTGAGTTTTGGATGTTTTCATCAATTCACAGACATTTTACCACTGCATTCAGTGCAACAAGAGGCCCATATCGCTCACCTGGATATTTACGCAATCATGACAAAATATTCATCTGCATTGTACATGTATATAATACTGCAAATATTTCGTAATTTTGACAGCATTTAAAAGGGGTGGATGGCAAATCTGACAGCATGAACGTGTACTTCTCTAGATACAAATGTAGCATAAAGATCTGAACTGTTTCCATGTTATGGTCCAGGATAAATCATCTCAAAGGTATTACTCTCTTCAAAACAAACAAATGTATACAATTGTATCTGTTTATTATAGGGTGGGGATAATATCGGTTTGCATGTTATGGTCAAGGGTCCAACTCCTTTGGGAGTGCCGGACAGATGAACAGAAGGGCCAGTCCTGGTAGCATATGTGCATTCCTCACATTATACTCTCAACTGAATATCTTAACTGTGTCCACTGTCCAAGTTATAAACTCTTTTTAGCCCCTCCCATTAGTCCCCGGGGGTTGGGGTAGGGTTGAGCCCCTCCATTTCTCCAATTTGAATCCTTACCACTGGAGAATGCTTCCAACCAAATATGGTTGATATCTATCTCTTAGTTCCAGAGCAGAAAAGTCGTTTAAAGCAAAATAGCCAAATTACCAATATTTGGCCCTGCCCCTCAGTCCCTGGGGGGGGGGGGGGGGGGGGGGTGTCAGCCCCACCATTTGTACAATTTTGAATCCCCACCACCTAGGGATGCTTCAAGTCAAATTTTGTTTATTTCCTATAAGTGGTTCAGAAGGAAGAGTTGTTTGAATAAATTGTTGACGAACGGGCGACACAGTACGGCATAAGCTAATAATGTATACTAAAGCATCTTTCCAAAGCTGTGTATAACATTAGTAGCAAGAGTCATCAGAAGATCCCCCCAGCCCCTACAAATTCGAAAGAACAAATCATCTGACTGTTACTGTAAGTCCAACTTGATGAGAGAAAGCTATCCAGTCTGTCTGTATACAAGAGTAGGTATTGAACTATCAAAACTACACCATGAAATCGGGATTGGAACTTTGTATGTCTATGTAAGGTACACACCACTATGAACTGAGGGACGGACAGGCCATATGATGAGACTATATCCAAGAGCATAACATGCCGGGAGGATAATAATAACCAAAAAAAAAATCAAGTTTGTTCCAGTATTTACAGAAAAGATGAACAACTGTACTCTGGCAAGATGACCCACCCCATACAACAGAACCACAAGCTACCCACCTCCTCGCTGGTGTGGAGTACAACAGAGCCACAAGCTACCCACCTCCTCTCTGGTGTGGAGTACAACAGAGCCACAAGCTACCCACCTCCTCGCTGGTGAGGAGTACAACAGAGCCACAAGCTACCCACCTCCTCTCTGGTGAGGAGTACAACAGAGCCACAAGCTACCCACCTCCTCTCTGGTGAGGAGTACAACAGAGCCACAAGCTACCCACCTCCTCTCTGGTGTGGAGTACAACAGAGCCACAAGCTACCCACCTCCTCGCTGGTGTGGAGTACAACAGAGCCACAAGCTACCCACCTCCTCGCTGGTGAGGAGTACAACAGAGCCACAAGCTACCCACCTCCTCGCTGGTGTGGAGTACAACAGAGCCACAAGCTATCCACCTCCTCGCTGGTGTGGAGTACAACAGAGCCACAAGCTACCCACCTCCTTGCTGGTGTGGAGTACAACAGAGCCACAAGCTACCCACCTCCTCGCTGGTGTGGAGTACAACAGAGCCACAAGCTACCCACCTCCTCGCTGGTGTGGAGTACAACAGAGCCACAAGCTACCCACCTCCTCGCTGGTGTGGAGTACAACAGAGCCACAAGCTACCCACCTCCTCTCTGGTGTGGAGTACAACAGAACCACAAGCTACCCACCTCCTCTCTGGTGAGGAGTACAACAGAGCCACAAGCTACCCACCTCCTCTCTGGTGTGGAGTACAACAGAGCCACAAGCTATCCACCTCCTCGCTGGTGTGGAGTACAACAGAGCCACAAGCTACCCACCTCCTCGCTGGTGTGGAGTACAACAGAGCCACAAGCTATCCACCTCCTCGCTGGTGTGGAGTACAACAGAGCCACAAGCTACCCACCTCCTCTCTGGTGTGGAGTACAACAGAACCACAAGCTACCCACCTCCTCTCTGGTGTGGAGTACAACAGAGCCACAAGCTACCCACCTCCTCGCTGGTGTGGAGTACAACAGAGCCACAAGCTACCCACCTCCTCGCTGGTGTGGAGTACAACAGAGCCACAAGCTACCCACCTCCTCGCTTGTGTGGAGTACAACAGAACCACAAGCTATCCACCTCCTCGCTGGTGTGGAGACAACAGAGCCACAAGCTACCCACCTCCTCGCTGGTGTGGAGTACAACAGAGCCACAAGCTACCCACCTCCTCGCTGGTGTGGAGTACAACAGAGCCACAAGCTACCCACCTCCTCGCTGGTGTGGAGTACAACAGAACCACAAGCTACCCACCTCTTCACTGGTGTGGAGTACAACAGAACCACAAGCTACCCACCTCCTCACTGGTGTGGAGTACAACAGAGCCACAAGCTACCCACCTCCTCGCTGGTGTGGAGTACAACAGAGCCACAAGCTACCCACCTCCTCGCTGGTGAGGAGTACAACAGAGCCACAAGCTACCCACCTCCTCGCTGGTGTGGAGTACAACAGAGACACAAGCTACCCACCTCCTCGCTGGTGTGGAGTACAACAGAGCCACAAGCTACCCACCTCCTCCCTGGTGTGGAGTACAACAGAGCCACAAGCTACCCACCTCCTCGCTGGTGTGGAGTACAACAGAGCCACAAGCTATCCACCTCCTCGCTGGTGTGGAGTACAACAGAGCCACAAGCTACCCACCTCCTTGCTGGTGTGGAGTACAACAGAGCCACAAGCTACCCACCTCCTCGCTGGTGTGGAGTACAACAGAGCCACAAGCTACCCACCTCCTCGCTGGTGTGGAGTACAACAGAGCCACAAGCTACCCACCTCCTCGCTGGTGTGGAGTACAACAGAGCCACAAGCTACCCACCTCCTCTCTGGTGTGGAGTACAACAGAACCACAAGCTACCCACCTCCTCTCTGGTGAGGAGTACAACAGAGCCACAAGCTACCCACCTCCTCGCTGGTGTGGAGTACAACAGAGCCACAAGCTACCCACCTCCTCTCTGGTGTGGAGTACAACAGAGCCACAAGCTACCCACCTCCTCTCTGGTGTGGAGTACAACAGAGCCACAAGCTATCCACCTCCTCGCTGGTGTGGAGTACAACAGAGCCACAAGCTACCCACCTCCTCGCTGGTGTGGAGTACAACAGAGCCACAAGCTATCCACCTCCTCGCTGGTGTGGAGTACAACAGAGCCACAAGCTACCCACCTCCTCTCTGGTGTGGAGTACAACAGAACCACAAGCTACCCACCTCCTCGCTGGTGTGGAGTACAACAGAGCCACAAGCTACCCACCTCCTCGCTGGTGTGGAGTACAACAGAGCCACAAGCTACCCACCTCCTCGCTGGTGTGGAGTACAACAGAGCCACAAGCTACCCACCTCCTCGCTGGTGTGGAGTACAACAGAACCACAAGCTATCCACCTCCTCGCTGGTGTGGAGTACAACAGAGCCACAAGCTACCCACCTCCTCGCTGGTGTGGAGTACAACAGAGCCACAAGCTACCCACCTCCTCGCTGGTGTGGAGTACAACAGAGCCACAAGCTACCCACCTCCTCGCTGGTGTGGAGTACAACAGAACCACAAGCTACCCACCTCTTCACTGGTGTGGAGTACAACAGAACCACAAGCTACCCACCTCCTCGCTGGTGTGGAGTACAACAGAACCACAAGCTACCCACCTCCTCACTGGTGTGGAGTACAACAGAGCCACAAGCTACCCACCTCCTCGCTGGTGTGGAGTACAACAGAGCCACAAGCTACCCACCTCCTCACTGGTGTGGAGTACAACAGAGCCACAAGCTACCCACCTCCTCGCTGGTGTGGAGTACAACAGAGCCAGAAGCTACCCACCTCCTCGCTGGTGTGGAGTCTGTCTACTAACTCCTCCTCCATTTCGGGGGTCTCGATGTGGCACCAGTCACTCTCAGCCTCCTTCTGTGCTGGGAGCTGTAGCAGTAATACACACATCACCCATTACATCTTTACAGTCAGTCTTGTCTGCATGTATGTTCATAAACTGCATCTTCAACTGTTCTTTTAACAATCATTTCTTCAACAATCCTATATGATGTTATGGGTTGACCATTTCATCTTTCGTAGACCTTGTATTCACATTGAAGAAGGATTATTTTATTTATCCAACAACACATGGAGTATACATGGTATATTTACCTGTTTCAAGATTCAGAAAGATACATTTTTATTGCCAATGCTGCATCCCAAAACAAAATATATGTTTCATATGACGATAACTGCCTTTGCTTATCTTGTGCATGAAGGGGGAGTTTCTTCTATCCAGTTTTACACTTTCCATATCAGCATTAAAATTAACATGGATAATGAATTTCCACCTGAAATAATATACCTGTAAAAATTGAAATATTTTCGTTTGGACACAACCCACACCCAACTCTAGAAATTGCTGGATTCATCAACGGGTCACTGCTTGACAAAGTAGACACAATTTATGGGGCTTAAAAAAATAAAAGATATGGTCCTCAGGCAATGGCTTTTGAAAACATAATGCGGGCGGGTGGTTTTTATCTTTTGTTGGTTGTTCAAGCTACTATGTAACCAAATATTATTTACAATAATCATGTTGTTCTTATGTACAGCTGCATTTGACTGCCAGCATCGTGTGTTCAAGACACTGAATAGTTAAAGATTTAATTTTTTTTAAATGGAAATAAAAACGAAACAGGCAGCGGATGTTATGATCATCAGGGCGGCGCCTGAGAACCAAGACTATTATTTTTTAGGCCTGGATAACAATTTCATTATTTACTGTAAAGGCGACGTTTCGGTATAGATCCTTATACCATTCTATCTCATTGGCTTCCACCTCATGTGTCTTCGGTCCATCATGTATGCACTTGTTGTTACTGTTAATCCTCCACCTGCTATATCTATTCTGTACCATGTTCATTATTCAACCTTGCTTGACAACGGTATAAATATCTTTACCGAAGCGTCACCTTTACAGTATCAAAGAAGTTGTTATCCATAAATTGTGTCTACTTTGTCATCCGTCAACTTTAAGTTATGCCTATCAAACAATTCAATACTTACCTCTGGTTGGGGAGACATCCCATTTCTGGTGGGCTTCGGTGGCGGTGATGCCTTGACGTGTACCCCAGGAGTTGGGGGTAGGTGGCGTCGAGTTCGGGGCACGGGTCCCTCCATGTACTGAATGACCTTATCACCGATCTCTATCTGCATGCCTTTAAGGAGAACATCATACATGTAACCATGGTAACCATGTCATGACAGGCAATCTGGCAATGGCATAAGGCAATACCCGCCAACCCGAAAAATTCTAACTGGTTGCCTTGGCCAGCCTCAGTTATAGGCATAGCGCAATTCGCAGTGAAGACTTGCATCCCTTGAGCTCGCCAAATACCTATGATCAGTGCACTTGATTATGTTTCTAGGTTTGTCAGCACCATACCCATGCTTGTGGGTCTTACAAAAATGGTAAACATCTGAGACCTGCATCACTTCGGGCTTTTTTCCCACGTCATGCTGACACGCCATGATATAAATGGAATATGATTAAAAGCGGGGTAAAACCCAACTCACTCACTCACCCAGTTATTAATAGGCTGTTATGGCATAGCCCTAACATTTCCCTTGCAAAAACTCTTAATGATCAGGTTCCTCCATTCATGTTCGAGTTTGCATGGTTTGTGTAAGAGGACAACCATATCCAAATTTAATCTCATATTCAGGGGGAAGGGGGGAGCTGAGATGTTTGTTTCGAGTCTTTGGTTCAAAAGATACACACAAAAAATTACTCAAAACAAAATATTTTTCAGAGCATCCAGTATGTGCAGTGAACGATTACCTTTTCCCAAGAACCTTTTTTTGGAACAGGCTCCTTTTTAAAAAAAGAAATCACCGAATGAACCACCCAAACGCGCACACATCCACAACACCCACCACCACCACCCACACACACACACACCCACCCACCCACACACCCACACACAGACACCCACACAGACACCCACACCCACACACCCACCCACACCCACCCACACACACACACACACACACACACACACACACACACACACACACACACACACAGCCAGAATATAAAATAGTCAGTAAATACACAGACGTACCAGTAAAAAGATTTATCTCTGATATGACTTCTTCGTCATTGATGGTGCAGACAAGGTCACGGTTCACAGGGGTCAAGGTCACACCTTCTGTCGGCCATATTGTCAGCTTGAACAAGGGGACACAAATCTCATGGCATTGTTTGTTGTCAGTCTTGCAGGAAAATACCTGGTCCTCTGCAGTTAAACCTGAAAAAAGGTTTTATATATATTTCTTAGAAATTCAGTGATGATGTATCCTTCAAAATCTCCATCAAACATATGAAATATGCCATCAGAATTGAAGGCATGTTGTTATCTGAAAATGTCATTTGAGACTTGCAAAAATGTTTTGAATCCCTGATTCACCCTGACAATGGTCCATGGTTTGTCAGCACCATTCCCATGCTGGCGGGTTTCACCAGGGGGGTAAATGTCTAAGACCAGCACCACTTTAGGCCTTCCTCACCCGTGAAGATCAGGGGTAAAATTGGTCTTCAGCAACTCATGCTTGCCGTTCAAGGCGACTATGCTTGTCGTAAGAGGCGACTAACAGGATCGGGTGGTCAGGCTCGCTGACTTGGTTGATGTCTTCGATCCCAATTGCGTGGATCGATTTTCATGATATTAATCACTGGATTGTCTGGTCCAGACTCGATTATTTACAGACTGCCGTCATATAGCTGGAATATTGCTGAGTGCAGGGTTAAACAACAAACAAACAAACATACTTCCTGCCTTCCTGCCGAACCATGACATAACTGAAATACAGCTGAATGTGGCGTTAAACCAAATGTAGGTGGCATCACTGGTGGCACAATGTATTCATGTTTCAGATTGACTGGTCCAAGAGTGAGTGAGTGAGTGAGTGAGTGAGTGAGTGAGTGAGTGAGTGAGTGAGTGAGTGAGTGAGTGAGTGAGTGAGTGAGTGAGTGAGTGAGTGAGTGAGTGGGTGGGTGGGTTGGTGAGTGAGTGAGTGAGTGAGTGAGTGAGTGAGTACATAAAAGGCCTTCATACATTGTCCCAAGGGCTTTGGAGAGACGACAGAACGCTTTACCTTAAGGCTACTACACCAACCCCAACAGTTTTAGAAAATGTCGTGAGATGATAAAAGATTGATAATCATGACCAACATCCCATGACACCAGTTTTATTTTCCATTTCTCTGATAAGGTAATCACCATATAAATTCATATCAAAACCATCTCTTTAATACTTCATGCCAAATAGACCTACATGACCCATTTCTGTAAACCAAGGGCAATGATCCACCTTGACTGAATATTATAAATATTCAAGTTATATTATCTGAATTTGTGGCTATTCAATTAATAACAAAAGAAAATTATTTTGTTCTTGTTCCTGGTTCCTATTTACATGATTGTTGTGCTAGAACCATAGATTTGTGTTACAAAGCCAGCAGCAGTGTTGTGTGGCCCGCAGCTGTGCCAGGCAGGGCATACCATGATTCTCACTGGATTAGCCCAGTGTTCCATATGTATCATACTGTAGAATATGTCAATTCAGACCAGTAAAAAAGTCCAGTTTACAGCAAGGTCCAGATTACACAGGGTACAAAATGTTCGACTGAAGACAAAACAAAACGCTACGATCATTATTTGCTGTTGTTGGTATGTTTAAGAATAGTCTGCTAACTTCTCAGCTAAATCTTTCTGCTTCTGTTTAGGCACTGACTTAAAACTTAAATCAAGACAGTAAAGAAGTAAAGTTGACTTGTCTTATTGTTTTAGAAGGCGGACGTCAGCTTTGCTCCTTGGCTCCAGAACCTTCCCTTAACCTGGGGGGGGGGGGGGGGGGGGGCCCTCATGAGATGGCCTAGTGGTTACAGCGATCACTCATTACACCTGTGTTCGATTCCTTACATGGGTACAATGTGTGAAGCCCATTTCTAGTGTCATGATTTTGCTGGAATATTGTTAAAAGCCATAGTCACACACTAACCCGTTTGACTGGGTTGTCAAAGTTTGCTCAAGGTTCTGATTTTAATTAGATTGAGTAAATTTCAACTTCCAGGGCCTCAGCATCCCCCTTAATTTTGAAGTAAATCAGAGGCTGCTTCTGACTTGACATTCAATATCATGAACAGTCAACCCGCCTCCAACTCTGCCCCGTCCTTGATTTATACATGAACAGTCAACCCGCCTCCGACTCTGCCCCGTCCTCCATTTATACATGAACAGTCAACCCGCCTCCAACTCTGCCCCGTCCTCGATTTATACATGAACAGTCCACCTGCCTCCGAATCTGCCCTGTCCTCGATTTATACATGAACAGTCCACCTGCCTCCGACTCTGCCCTGTCCTCGATTTATACATGAACAGTCCACCTGCCTCCGACTCTGCCACGTCCTCGATTTATACATGAACAGTCCACCTGCCTCCGACTCTGCCCCGTCCTCGATTTATACATGAACAGTCCACCTGCCTCCGACTCTGCCACGTCCTCGATTTATACATGAACAGTCCACCTGCCTCCGACTCTGCCCTGTCCTCGATTTATACATGAACAGTCAACCCGCCTCCGACTCTGCCCCGTCCTCGATTTATACATGAACAGTCAACGTGACTCCGACTCTGATACAGACATAGACATGTATTGATTTGAACATCCTGGTTGTGGTGATATTGACATCTGTGGAGCTAGTATGTCATGTATATCTTGATGACTGTCACACAACTGTATTAAAGAGCTAATGGCCAGATTCTTAACTGTTCTAAATGTAGTGTTGTACTGAAAGTAGTGTGAGAGAGAGAGATTCGAAACCTTGATGATTGGTTTCTGTCCTGCCCAAGGGATGCAACTCTGCACAGCGATTTGCAGCGCCTTAGAAATATAAATTTAAATCTTAAATCAGCTGTAATATAGAATATTCTAGATGTGTACTTTTATATTAGTGCTGTATGATGTAAATGTACTCGCTGTATGTTGATCCTCGTGACATGACGGTCATCTTCCCTCTTGTTCTGCGCATGCATACTTTAGAATGTTGCAGTCTGTTTTCTGCGTGTTCTCAGATTTATGATGTTTCTTAACTTTTAGTTATGTTCTCATCTTTTTCTGTTGACGATTCCTTGTGTATTGTGTTTTTTGTTGCAGTTTGTCAGTTTTCATTGTTTGGCCAAAATAAGGATCAGGTTGTCTGGCTCTGTGACAGCATGTCACTGTACCCTGGTGCTATCATGTCAATCACTGGATAGTCTGGTCCAGACTCAATTATTTACAGGCGGCCAGTATACAGCTGGAATATTGTAGACTGTGGCATTAAATAGTAAAATTAAATTAAAGGGAGGTTCCTTATGTGTGAGTTTTATGCTGCTTTTACGTCAAAATCTTCCAATAATAGCACGCCTGGTGACACATGAAATGGGCTTCACACACTGTACCATGTGTAGAATCAAACCCGGGTCTTTGGCGTGACGAGCCAACACACTAACCACTAGGCTACCCCACTGCACCATTTCCCCTTAGCACTGTCACAGTTCACAGTAGAATATTTCAAGCATTGGTCATGTTTCTCTTGACATTTGCTGTAATTGGCTACAATTTGGATGTAATTTATTTATAACCCTGTGTTAATAACAACTTCAGAAACCTTGCAATTTCAAGGTACCAGGTGGTTCTTTAACTGCAAATGATATTGACAAAATTATCTGAACTCAAACCAGGATCTTAATAATGATCCTTCAAAGGAAACAGAATTGGTATCCATAGTTACCGTACTGCATATTAAACTGAATTGGCCAAACTAGGTCAAAAGTACATTCTCAACAACCACGACATTTTGACCATATATAAAATCAGGCTCTGGAGATGAAATATTTATTTGAGACTGAGATTACAAAAGATCATACGAATGTAAAAAAAAAGTAATTTGTATAATTATGACAAAAGGTTTACAAGCAATTCTTAATGACCTATACACAAAATGTCACCTTTACAAACCAACCCTGTGGCTTCAGAGACGGCAACAATTTGGCACCCCAAGATTAAGTCAGCATGTGGGAGGCAAAGGTCACACGTCTAAATATTTTCTTTCATAAGAAGGGTGTGACCTCCCTTTCAAAGGGTTAAGGCCTTGAAATCTGTTTGATGTGGGCATACATATTTAGTGGTAGGGAGGCGCCATGAACATTTTCAGCCACATTCAGCCTCTTTCACAGGACAAACCTGCTGTGCTGTGGAGAGGTCTGTTGCTAATACAATGATGAGGCTACTTTTATGAAGGCATCATAAAGTGTGATGTGGGGAACTCAAGGTTTTACAGTGGCATATTGATTAGATAAGGAGTGTGAAGTCAGTTAATAGCACCTGGACTAGCTCAGCTGTTGGATATACATCAGCTGCATTGCAGGGTTGTCAACCAGATCAAGGAAAGGGTTCACCTGTGGATTTCCTCTTCTATATTTATCAATGCATCGAGGTCCAAAATCAGATTTCCAAACTTTTATATAACTGTATAATCAAAGTATGTCGAAACATGTCTTTTTGAAACAGATAGGGTATAAATAAATATAAAATGTATAACAAGAATCCATGTTTCTGTGTCCCATAGTGGCATAGCTACTACATAGCACAGAACACAAGTGCTTACACTCTAAAATCATTACAAAATAAAATGTAATAATTTTTTAAAATTTATATATGTACTGTGGAGAAACTGGTTGCTAATACAATGCCCCGGCTACTTTATGAAGGCATCATAAAGTGTGATGTGTACAAACATTTATTTTCTTTAATTTATTATAATTTAATATAGCATGCTCTTCTTCAGTTTTAGTAATTTGTTTTTACATGAATTATGGTGAATTTACTGGTAGACTCAGCATTCCAGAGTGAGTGAGTGAGTGAGTGAGTTTGATTTTACGCCGCTTTTAGCAATATTCCAGCAATATCACGGCGGGGGACACCAGAAATGGGCTTCACACATTGTACCCATGTCGGGAATCGAACCCGGGTTTTCAGCGTAACGAGCGAACGCTTTAACCACCAGGCTACCCGACCGCCCCCATTCCAGAGTGAAGCTTATCGTTCAGGAGTTGGTTCTGTATATTGAACATTGCTGTGTTTGTTGCTGCAGTAGGATTTGAGGATATCTGGGTTTGATCACAATGATAAAACTGTTCAACAAAACAATGTGATATGTCCAGAACGGGGTAGGGATATCTTTGTGACAACTCTGTTTTACCTAT